CCCTCCCTCCCTCCTTCTCTCCTTCCCTCCATCCAAGGTGGGTAAAATGAGGACCCAGATTGTTGGGGGCCAGAGGCTGACTCTGTAAACCGCTTAGGGAGGGCTGTAAAGACCTGCGAAGCGGCATATAAGTGCTATTCCTTCCTTCCTGCCTTCTTCTCCATCATCACTATCACCTCTCTCTCTTCTTCCTCCTTCCTTCCTTCCTTCCCTCCCTTCCTTTTTTTTTAAAGTTTGTAGTGTTAAGGTATTAAGATTTAGAAACTGACCAGCGGTGAGTAGCTGCACGATGCTGTGAAGCTGATGTAAGCCTGGCTGATGTTAACAAAAGTGATTCAGCAGAGTATGGGTATTTCCCTTTAAGGCCGGAGTGTAAAGTTCCCTTAAGAGGTGTGTATATAAAAGGTAGCCATTCAAGGGCATGGTTCTCTTTCCTTGTATTCAGTGTAGAAGCTCTTCGTGTCTTAGGAAGAAGAAAGCCTGCTTGTAAAGGTATTTTGCTACCACGAGTATATTGTCTGTATATACCTGTTGTATATTAAACCACGGTTAATGTCTAAGTCTCTGTTTGCTGTGTGTTGCTCCTGGGTTATCTCATAAAGGTAATCATGCTGCCAAAATGTCAGCCTTCAAGATCTTCTATTATTGCTTTGCATCTTTTGGCTGCCATAAGTAACGGGGGGAGGAGGGGGTAAAGTCTGGGAAGTGAGCTGGAGGTGTTACATTCTAGTGTTGTGTAAAATAAGGAGTGGGGAGTATAAGTATTTCTTTCTTGAATTTTGAATGGAGCGCCAGCTGGCACAAGCGCTCTGACATGTAGAGATTCTCCGTCATCCAGGATCAGCTCACAGTTGTCCCAAAGGTGCTTTTTTTTCAGGGGGCAACTGGACTTTCTGGTTTTTCCTTTCAAGACATTTTGCTTCTCATCTGAAAAAGCTTCTTGGGTGAGAAGCGAAACGTCTTCAAAAGAAAAAAAATAAAAGTCCAGTTGCCTCTTGAAAATAAAGCTCCAAGCAGCCTCAATGACCCTCTAAAAAGGATGCAAATGACCAGCTCTGTCTGCAAGGAGCATAAATCCTTCCCTTCCCCTCCATCCTGTCAGAGCTGAAGAAGCTTCTTGGAGGAGAAGCGAAACATTTTCAAAAGAAGAAAAAAAACAGGAAGTCCAATTGCCTCCTGAAAAAAAAGCACTTTTTGGGACTTCCTTTTCTTTCTTTTTCCTTCCTTACTCCCCCTCCCTTCCTTTTTCTTGTCCTTTCTTTTTCCTTCCGCTGAGTCCTGGTGGCACTTCCTCCCTCCTTCCTTCCTACCTCCCTCCCTCCTTCTTTCTTTCCTCCCTCCTTCTTTCCTTCCTCCTTCTTTCCTTCCTCCCTCCTTCCTTCCTCCCCCCCTTCTAAAGGTTGACTCATCCTTCCGTCTTTCCGAGGTGGGTAAAATGAGGAGCCGGATTGTTGGGGGTCAAGAGGCGGACTCTAAACCATTTAGAGAGGGCACTAAAACACTGTGAAGTTTTCTTGCGGACGTTTCATTACCCAGCCAGGTAACACCCTCAGCGCTAGAAGGTGCAAACCTCACTCCCTTCTAGCACTGATGTTACCTGGTTGGGTAATGAAAACGTCCACAAGAAAACTACCAAGTGCTATTCCCAAGTAGTGGGATCCTCCTACCTTAGCCGCTACTGGTTCGGTAGGCGATTGAGTGTGCGCGCATGCTTGCACACACACACACACACACACACACACACACCCCTAACGCGTGAGCCCCTAACAAGCCAATCAGCTGGGAGGTTGAAGAAACGAAAAGCTAGAAGTGACCTTCCCACCTCTCCCATTGCGCTTTTTCAGCCTTTTATCTTCTCGGGCTTTTTTCCCCACTACCGGTTCGGTCGAACCGGTCCAAACCGGTAGGATGCCATACACCACTGGTGCTATTGCTATTGCTATCCACTGAAGAGGTGAGCAACCCAGTTAGAGAGCGGAAGGACTAGAAACATGGCAAAACCAGGCAAGGCTGCAAATAAGGGGAGAACCCTTTTCTTTTTAGCCTAAATTCCAAGATCTCCACCACCAGATGGGTTGCATCCAATGGTCCTGAAGGATCCGGCTGAAGAAAAGCAACCAGGGTAAGGCTTAGGGCCGTGATGACGAACCTATGGCACGTGTGCCCACAGGTGGCACGCAGAACCATTTGTGCGGGCACGCGAGCCCCAGCCCAAGTTACCTGCACTACGCATGTGCAGCTGATTTTCGGCCCATTTGAGGCTGTTTTCAACCTCCTGGAGGCTCAAGGGAAGCCTCTGCGGCCTTGGGAGGCTGAAAAATGGGCCTTCTGGAAATACCGGAAGTGGCAAAACGGGCCCGTTTTTCAGCCTCCCGAGGCTCCAGGAGGGCGAAAACGGCCTCAAACGAGCTAAAACTCAGCTGAGAGGTGTGCGCATGTGCAGTGCAGGTAAATGGGAGGGGTGGGGTGCTGTGCGTACCTGCGTGGGGGGGGGGGGGGCAGGGCGCATTGCATTGTGGGTGCCGGCACGCACACGCTTTCGGCACACCACAACACAGAGTTTCGCCATCAGCGGCCTAGGGACTAAAACATACAAAGAACGGCTGCAGGATTTGACCAATCTAGAGAAAAGAAGGCCTAAGGGTGATACAATAGCACAGTCTTCCAATATTTGAGGGGCTGCCCCGAAGAAGAAGGGGTGACCTTATTCTCCAAAGCTCCTGAAGGCAGGAGAAGAAGCAACAGAGAGAAGCTAATCAAGGACAGAAGCAACCTGGAATTAAGGAGGAATTTCCTAACAGGGAGGACAATTAACCAGTGGAACTGTTTGCCACTAGAAGTTATGGTTGCTTCATCACGGAAGAGACTGGACAGCCTACTTGTCTGAAATGGCACAGGGTCTCCTCCCTTGAGGAGCAAGGGGTTGGACTAGAAGACCTCCAAGGTTTCCTTCCAGTTCTACTCTGACTTACCGTTACTGTGATTTCCTGTCTGGAGGGAAGGAGTCGGCTGCAAAGTGTTTCCCAGCGTCCCATAGCTGCGGTAGCTGTAGTTCAGGCTCCCGTTGATGTAGACGGGGTCTTGGGAGAAGGAGGAGGCTGGCAGCGAGTAGGACGAATGCGTGACGGAGGTGGAGGAGTCCCGGGACTGCTGCTTCTCGAGGGTGACTGGTTCGTCCTGCCGGGAGAGAAACAAGGGGGCAGGTTGGCAAAGAGAAGCGTTAAGGGTGCAGCGTGTGTGTCGGAGCTGCCATCTTCAGCTTGGCGCCTTGCTGGCATCCTGTCGTTAACTGATGGAGGGGGGAGGAGAGGAAATGGGCAGTAAGCATACATGGAGTAGGGAGGAGGGATGGCAGCGGGTGATGGACAGCAGAGGTGTGAGAAACCAGCCAAGTTCCAGTCTTCAAGGCCATGAAGCTTTGGGAAAGGAATGCGAATTGTACCAAACCTCTGAGTATTCCCCAAAACACGGATGTGGCACACCATTGGTCTACGCCGAACTTGTTAAGGGGAGGAGGGGAGGGCTGTGATGAAGGGGAAACATTTGCAATATTTTGCATGGGGACTTTAGTCCTAGCCTGCTTTTAGAGCAACCAGTAACCCTTCGTAAGAGAACCTATCACTTCACAACCAAATGGGAGTCGAGGGTCTCTCTTTCCTAGAGAACCTAGCCGGGGCAGGTCTGACAGTGTATGGAAGATAGCGATTGCACCACTCCAGGAGGCTGGAAACGTCATAAATACAGGTAGCCCTCCACTTATGATCACAACTGAGCCCAAAGTTTGTGTCGCTAAGCGAGACAGTTAAGTGAGCCTTGCTCCATTTTATGACCTTTTTTGCCCCAGTTGTTAAGGGAATCACTGCAGTGGTTAAGTTAGTCACACAGTTGTTAAGTAAATCTGACTTCCCCGTTGACTTCGTTTGTCGCAAAAGGGGATCATGTGACACCCCCCCCGACACTGCAATCATAAATGTGAGTCAGTTGCCAAACATCTGAATTTTGATCATGTGACCATGGGGATGTGGCAACGGTCGTGTGAAAACCAATCCTAGATCACCTTTTTTCAGTGCTGTTGTAACTTCGACAGTCATTAAATGAACTGTGGTAACTCGAGGACTACCTGTACATGCCAATTGCCAAGAGCCTGAATTTTCATCATGTGACCCCGGGAATGTTGTGGGATCATAAGTCACTATTTTTAGTGCCATAGAGAATGGCCGCTAAAGAAGCGGCTGTACGTTGAAGATGCTATTATATACTAGAGTCAGTTTTAGGAGCGAAGTCGGGTGAATATAAACTCTGATTATGTTAAGTGTTTGAAACAAACAGCACATAGAATCAAGAATGGGACCCAGTGTCTTTTTGCAAGCAGCAAAGGGATAACCTGTCCCAATACTCAAGGCCAGCAAATAACCCGATTCCGAAACCAGTGAACCTAATCAAGGGTAGGACCAGGCCCTTGCTGCAAGTGGTAAAGAGGTAACCGGATACTCAAGGCCAGCAAATAACCCGATTCCGAAACCAGTGTACAGTATAGGATGGGACC